AAAAAAACCTTACTATATCTGGTTACTGTGGTGCATGCCTATAATCCTAGCAGTTGGGAGGCAGAGACAAGAAAAATTGTTATTAGTTCAGACTAGTCTAGACTGCCTTGTGAGACCATGTCAAAAACCTAAAGGGAAAAAAAATTATTACAATTTCAAAATATCTAAGATGATTGGAGAAAATTAAAAGCAGCAAAATACTTTGGCTTCTTGTTCTCTTTATTTAAGTAATCACTGGTTAAATAAAGAACTAAATGAAAATCAGCTCATGAGAAAGCACGATGTATTGGGACATGGCTTCCACTCCACCTGTACATTCCAGCAGCAACACAATCAGAAGTGGAATTTCTCCTAACCTGAATGTGGTAAGATTTAAAATGCAGTGTCCTGAAGGGCACTGTTTCCTAGATTGTCACGAAGTCTTCGTGACAAAAGGTGGGGACTAACAAACACTAGATCCTGCATTATATGCACAGTAGCAGAGTGCAGAGTGCCTTGGAAGCGGGGGCATGCATGCACTTAACAGAGAACTGTATGTCAAGGACACACTTCTTCGTATGACTTCATCAGTCATATTAAGTCGTGCCAAATATGCCAAAAAAACTTTAAAATGCATATGCACACAGAATATTTTAAAACGCTTCAGGAAGCGAGGTTTTAGGGTTTGGGCTCAAGTTTGAAATAACAATGAAAAAATACTAAGCAATTCTATCAGTGAATTAAAAGAAGGGTGGAGTGGGGATGGGAGGGGTAGGAAGAAAGCTCCGTTAGCAGGTGTGTCAGCTCTAGAGTCTAAAAAGAAACTGGTTATGAGCTAGAAAGCCTTCCCAAGACCAGGCCATTTGCTTCTTCCCTACAAGGAATAAGAAGGGAGAATAAGAAAGAAGCTCCTGATGGTTGGGTGGCAAAATTTCTGCCATGCCAGCCACTAGGGCAGTGAGGTAGGAGGGATTTTGAATTGGAGGCCAGGCAAACAAAGTTATTGAGACCCTATCTCAAAAAACAAAAGGAGCTGGAGGGTGGTTCAAGCAGCAGAGTGCCTATTTTCCAAAGTTCTAAGCCATGAGTCAAACCCAGTCCCACCAAATAAGTAAATATGCCAGGTGCTTGTGGCTCACACCTATAATCCTAGCTACTTTGGGACAGAGGTCAGAAGTGTCATGGTTCATGAAACCCTATCTCCAAAATACCCAACACAAAAAAGGGCTGATGGAGTGACTCACGTGGCAGAGAGCCTGCTTAGCAAGTGTGAGGCCCTGAATTCAAACCCTAATACTGCCAAAAAAAAAAAAAAGAGGCAGTTCTTTTGTGGCCTGGTATTATAAGGGGCAAGGCCAAGGTGGAAGTAGGAACTGCCTAGCAGTCACACGAGGCCCTAGCTCTTCTGTTGACCGTAAGTTTTACAGAATATCAGAAGGAACAAGTTCACCCTGTAACCATGATGAGTCAAGACAAAAACAAGACCACCCTTTCAACAATCATGTCTGGAGGCAGACAGAAATAGGAACATTACAAACCTCGGCAGTGGCCAGGCACCCTCCTGCCCTGTAGCGTGAGTAGTTGTGACTTCTTTGATACTCAGCTTTGGTCTTAATGCTTTCCTTCTCCCTTATTAAGATTTATTTAGGTCCTCAGTCACCACAATTTGGTCACTTCTAGTTCATGTCAAAGTCCAGTAAACAAGCCTCTGTCCACTTCCTGAGACAAGCCATGGTTCCCATGCAGCACGGTCCTTCATTGTCAGAAGCAGTACACCCAGCTTTTACAGACGTCTATCCTTGTTCCTGGTGCTCTCTGGCTACAGGAGACTGTCAGAGTGTGTAAAACTCAAGTGCCTAGCTGAATTTTTAATCTACTGTGATAGATAGTGCTATGTGTTTAAAAGAGGGAAAAGATTGCTACTGAATTGGAAAGGGGGAAATTGAAAGAGGCGCCTGGAGCTGAATTACAAACCTGAAAAAAATCTTGTAGTCTCACCTTTGATGACTGAAAATAAATGGCCATGTGAAGGAGGTTGTGCTGTGCGGTCACTGATGTATACGATTGTCTCAAGATTTGTGCTTCAGGTGGTCTCTTAGCAAAATAAATGTTTTCAGGACATTGGTTAATAGTTACATATTTAAAAATTAGGGAAAGCAAGTTACTATCTCAATCCATTTAAAGACAATAATCTTGGTTTTTAACTTAATCTGGAAAAAAACTGTTTTATCTTCCGTGAGGCTATTAATTTATGAGCTTTCATTCTTCCTGACACCTTACAGGAAGGCTGGACAGAACTGTTCGTGCTGCTTTGTTTTAACTTACTTCACTTTGGCCCAGACTTGCACAGCCACCCTGAAGAGACCTGGACCATAGGTATTCCAGCGTCATGCTATAAAAACAGTTTTTCTGAATTTATTTTACTTTTTTGCAGTGCTAGTGTTTGAACACAGGGTAGGCAAGTTCTCTACCACTCCCCATCTCTAAAACAGTGTTGTGGAGCCATTAAAATGGGCCTCAGAGATAGTCTCTCAAATATTAATTATTCACAGCCTCCTCAATCAGCAAATACTATTTAGAATTATTTCCCATCCTTAACTTATTTATGTTCTTGCTTCTAGGTTGCTAGTAGACCGACTTACCCTGGCTGTGGAATTGGTTATCCTGTCTCTTCTGCATTTGCATTCCAGAATACCTTTGCCCATCCAGTGTCCACCAAAAATACTTCCCACCACTTTCAGGACCAAAGGTAGCCAAATTAACAAATACTCGTGAAAACTACAGAAACTTCTTAGCATATAAATATTTTTTACCTTTTAAAAGTCAGTTTATTATCTGTTTACTTGCTAAGTATTAGGTACTATATAGATGAATGTATTACCAAATAAATAGTTTATATACTTGCAAGAAAACACATGCACTGTATGTTTCCTGAGTCCTGCAATTTGTAAAATTCTAGATATCACTCTGCTTAGTCTTTGCCTATTCTTACTCAGCACTCCATTTTTATTCATTCTGCTGCTTAAACTATTAATCTAACTAGGATTATGACATCATGCTGCTGGTATGTCAGACGTGGTTAACTCGCATTGTATTGCCAGAATTTAAAAGCTCCATAAGGCAGAATTACAGCACATTCTAAAGTAAGGTTTTCTTGTTCTTTGGCAGTGCTGGGGATTTAACTCAGGGCCTTGGACATTCTAGAAAAGCATCCTACCACATCCAGCCCCTAAAATGTAGTTTTGGCAACATCTCCAGAAGTGTGCGGTCAGCAGTCCTTCCTGCCCTTGGCTTGTTTGCTAGGACTTTTTTCTGTCCACTTGCGATCCTGTTCGTCGGTCGTTGCTGTTCGTGTATTAGTTGCCTGTTTGGATGTTCTTAAACGAAGCAGCATTTGCAGATTTGGTTTCCTTGTTTGTTTGTTTGTTTTTTCCCAGCATGTTGTCTAGGCCGGTCCAAACTCACTATCCTCAGTACTAAGTAGCTGGGATTACAGGGACCCACTACTCACTATTCCTGGCTTCTCACTATCTCTTTCTTCATGATCTCCATCTCCATACATGATCATGTATTCCAACAGTAAATAAAACTAAAAAAAAGTCCACTGAGCTTGAGTCTGCAGTACAGAAACTTTTCTTTATTGGTGAATTGTATGCATATACTGCTGAACTTTGTGTTATGTGCAGTATAATTTAGAGTTTAAGAAAGTGGGATCTTGGACTGATGGTATGGCTCAAGTGGTAGTGTTTGTGAGGCCCTGAGTTCAAATGTGAGCACTGCCAAAACCAAACTAATAAAAAGCTCTCCAAAACTTAGAAAGTGGGATCTAGCTGGGTGGAGAGGTATACACTCCTAGTCCCAGCACTAGGGAAGCTGAAGCAGGAGGGGTGTGAGTTCGAGGCCTGCTTGGGCTTTGGAGTGAGACCTTGTCTCAGGAAAAAGAGAAAGAAAGGATCTTAGGGTAACTCCTCCCTCTTTCAGTGTGCTGTTTAGACAGTCCACTTCTTCAGTTAAATTTATTTCTAGGCACTTTATGTAGCCATTGTGAATGGGATTGCTTCCATTATTTCTTTCTCAAGGAGTTCATTAGTAGTATATAGGAAAGCTAATTTTTGTGTGTTGATTTTGTATGCTCCTGCTTTCATCAGTTCTAGTAGTTTTTATTGTGGAATCTAGCATTTTCGAAGTACAGAATTATAAAATTTGCAAATAGATAATTTGATTTTCTCCTTGCCTTTCTGTATGCTATTTGTTTCTCCTGCCTGATTATTTTGGTTAAATTTATTGAATAAAAGGTGACAGTAGACAACCTTCTCTAGTTCTTGATTTTAGAGGAAATTCTTTTCGTTTTTTCCCGTCAGTATGATGTTGGCTATGGGGTTATCAGATACAAGCTTTGTTATGTTGAGGTGTGGTCCTTCTGTGTCTAATTTGTTCAGGGCTTTTATCATGAAAGGGTGCTGAGTTTATCCAATACTGTTTCTGCATCTATTAAGATAATCATGTGGTTTGTAGACTCATTCTACTTACGTGATTTGTTACATTTATTGAATTGTGTATGTTGAATCATTCCTGCACCCTGGAATGAAATGAAGATGACCAGGAAGTATAAGTTTTTGATATGCCATTGAATTCAATCTGTTAATACTTTGTCAAGGATTTTTGCATTTGTATTCATCAGGAATACTAGCATATATTTTTCTTTTTTGTAGTGTGTCTTTGTCAGGTTTTGGTAACAGGGTATTGCTGGTGTCTTAGACGGAGTGAAGACGGGCTCCCTCCCTTTCAGTTCTGTCTAATAGTTTGGGAAGCATTGGTGTTGGATGAGTTTGTCAGTGTTCAGCAGTCTGGGCTTTTTATTGTTTGATCCAGTCCTAACTGCTCGTTAGGACTCTCTTCAGGTTTTTAAGCTCCACTTGGTTCAGTTTTGGAAGGTCAGATGTTCCTAGAAATTTGTCCATCTCTTTCATATTTATCGATTGGTGAGCACATAAGTTTTCAAAATAATTCCTAATGATACCTTTGCTTTTCTGAGGTTCACTGAAAGAAATGAAAATTTATTTAATTTTATTTGTGTTTTCTCCTTTTTTGTTTAGTGTAGCTAAAGATGTATCAACTTTATCTTTTCAGAAAACCAACTCTTATTTCATTGGTTCTTTTTATTCTTTTACATTATTTTATTTATTTCTACTCTGATCTATTGTTTATTGTTGATTTTCTAAATCCTTGAGTTATATCTCGAAGGTGTTTGTCCCTCCTGGAGTTTAAGCTCTGGGTCTTACACTTGAGAGGCTCTCTGCACTTGAGCCACGTCTTAATGCAGGCGCTCATTGCTGTCATCTCCCCTCTTGGTACTACTCAGGATGCCGGCTCTGACATGTCGTGTGTCCATTTTTTGCTCATTTCAGTGAGTTTTTTAATATCCTTCTGACTTCCTCAGTAACCCACCATTCATCCAAATCGTTTTGTTGTCTCTATTATAGTTTCTAAAGTTTCTTCTATTACTGACTTCTTCTCTTCCATGTTAACAGAAAATATGCAGGATATAATTTCAGTTTTGCTTTTTGTTTTTTGGGTTTTTTTTAGATTTAAGACTTGGAATGTTCAGTGAATGGGTATAAATGTCCATTGGTTTATAGGATAGTTCAACTCTGATGTTTCTTTGTTGGTTTTGTGTCTGGTGAGAGTGGGGTATTGAAATCTCCCACTATTAGTGTATTGGATCCTATCTTTCTTTTTAGGTGTAATAGTATTTGTTTTATAAAATTGGGTGCATGTAGACTTACACTCATCATATGTTCTTTATGAATTGATCCTTTGATTTTTATATATTGATCTTCCTCGGCTTGCCTTACTGTTTTTGTCTTAAAAGTTCATTTTGTCATATATAAATATATGTACTCCTGCTTACTGTTCCATTTGCTTGGGATATAATTTTCCAGCCTTTCACTTTCAGTCTGTGTATGTCTTTGAAGACAAGGTCAGTTTCTTATAGACAGCTTGTGTTAGGTCTTATGGTTTTGTTGTTGTTTTTAAGAGTCTTGCTATGTACCCCAGGCTGGCCTCCACTCAAGTTCTTCCTGCCTCAGCCTCCCAAGTGTTGGTATAAGCTACCACATCCAGTTTCTGGTAATCAGTTTATCCAGTCTGTATCTTCTATTTGGAGAATTAAAACCATTTTCTCCAGTATTATTATAAAAGATGGGGACTGATACCTGGCATTGTATTGATTTCAGTTGTTTCAAATATTCTTTGTTCATTTCTTTCTCTTTTATTTATCTTTGTGGTTTGATGTTTGGTGTATTGATAATGTTTGGGTCTTTTATGTATTTACTTTCTAGTGAGATTACTCTTCACACACCATCATGATGATAGGTATCTTTCTTTTACTTGAGAATGTAGGACTCTCTTAAGTATCTTTAGTAAGTCCGATCTGGTGATCATAAATTCTCTCAAGTATTGTTTATCTTGGGAAAATCTTTATTTCTCCTATGTTTCTGAAGGACATTCTTGCTGTATATAGTAATCTGGGTTACTTTCTTTCAGGAGTTGAAAACATCATTATAATCTCTCATGGCCTGTAGAGTTTCTGCTGAGAAATCTGCAGTTGTCTAATTGGATTGCCCTTAAATGCAACTTGACACTTTGCTCTTAAAGCTTTTAAAATACTTTCTTTGTCCTTTACTTTGGGCAGTTTGACTCCAAACTGTCCTGTTGAGGATGACAAGAAGTCTTGTCTATTTGGAGTTCTGAAGGCCTCCAATAACATGAATGTCCATGAGTTTCCCAAAACTAGGGACATTTTCTGCTATCCATTGAATAGGTTTCTATGCCAGTAATGCAGATGTTTGGTCATTTAATGGTGCCCCAAAATTCTTGAATTCTCCATTTTTTCTTACATATTTTTCCTTTTTTTTTTCTGTCCAAATGTGATATATGTACTTGTCAATTTAATTTTACATTTCAGTTAGCATACATTGATAGTATGGGGATCATTGTGATAATTCCATAAATTCATGCAGTGTGCTTTGAACAAGTTCAGCCCCTTGAATGTGATAATTTTGAAAAACCTGTCTGTAAGCTCTAATATTCTTTCTTCCACTTCATCTAGCCTGTTGTGGAGGCTTTCAACTGAATTTTTTATTTGACTTATTGAGGTCTTCATTTTCATTTTTTCTGTTTGGTTCTTTTTCAGTATCTCTGACCTTTTAATGAATTTCTCATTCATATCATTGTCTGCCTAATTTTACTTAATGGTTTATCTGTATTGTCTTGGTTTCCACTGAGCATTTATTTATTTAGGCAGTCCTAGGGGTTGAACTCAAGGCCTTGCATTTGTTAGGCAAGCAGGCTACCACTGAGCCACAGCTGCAGCTCTCTAGTCATTTTGATGGATGTGGAATATTATGAACTTTATGCTGTTGATCTCTGCATTTCCTCATTTTTAGAGTAGCAAGTGTAATCACCTTGATCCTCTTGAGTTTTTGGTTTAGGAAAAGGTACTTTCTGCTCAAGGGATAGTTCAACCCTATTAAAATGATGTGACCTATCTTGTTTTCCCTCAAAGTCTTTGTCTCTCTGCTGTTGAACTTTGGAAGGAAAATGTTCACTCTTCTTTAACCCATGTGTTAGTTTTTCACTGGTGTCACGAAATACCTGAGAGAATCAACTTAAAGGAGGAAAGATTTGTTTGGCTTATGGTGTGAGAGGTTTAGGCCAAGTCACTTAGCTCCGTTGCTTTTGGCATGGAGGGAGTATCTGCTGTTCAGCTCATGGCAGTCAAGAAGCAGAAAGAGAGGGAGGAAGGAGTAAGGGTCTCCACATTCCTTTCAGGGGCATGGTCCAGTGACCTGACTTCCACAGCAGAGGCTTTTCAGTCTCAGTGGGGTGTGCTTGGGTATAAAATAATAGATAAAACCTGTGATTTGTGATCCAGATTATTAAATGTAATCACCTGTCTCAGTCCTCACTCAGCTACAGAGGTGTTTTCCTTCTTTCCAGGTTCACTTTAACTTGCAGTTTACAAAACCAAGTTCATCCCTGGGAGACACTCAGCCAGGAGCAGCTGTTAGCATGCCTGGCTCAACTGATAAGGAAAAGTAGGTGCTGCCAACATGATTTAATGTTTGTGTTTTGAAGTTCATAAAGAATTTGTATCCATGCTTAGCAGCTGTGATGCTGAGACATTTTCAGATGCAAACTTCATTTGGATTACTTGTAGCTATAAAGGTGGTCTCTCCTGTCTGTTCTTTAAGCTTTGACATGTAACATCTGAGGATTTCCTTTTTAAATATTTTTGGGTGCATACATAGAAATCCTTCTTAATTCCTCATAGTGAGTGTGTTTTTTGTTTTCCTGAATGGCTGTATATGCCCTGGATGCCCTCCATTTTTCTTATTTTTTTAATTATTTATACGTTTTCATTAGTATATGATAGTTGTACAGGAGGTTTTGTTGTGTTTCTAAATAACGTCTACCCTGGTTTGGTTCGTCCCCTCCATTATTCTCCTCTTCTCCCTCTTTACCCCCAAGAAATTTGTTTTTGGGGGGGACTGGGGTTGAACTCAGGGCTTTGCACTTGTTTTTTGTTTTGATGTGTCTGGGGAAGTACTGGAGATGAAGCCCCGCTAGGGTCTCACGCATGCCAGATAAGCTCTCTGCTACTGAGCCACACACCCTCAGCCCAGCTGATATTTGCGTATTTATGGTACCGTTAAGTGTTCTTTATCCGAAATGTCTTTGAGGCCAGAAGTGTTTTGGATTCAAAATTTAGGATTTGGGATTTTGCATATATACATAAGGAGATGTGTTGGGGATTAGGAGCCAATCTGAACACAGGATTCAAAAGTTCCTTCTACACATAGCCTGAAGGTAATTTTCTGTGGTATTTAGCGTACCTGTGTTTGACTGGTCTATCCTGTGAGGCCAGGTGTGCAATTTTCTATTTTTGTAGCATCGCAGGGGGGCTCAGTTTTGATTTGGGAGCATTTTGGATTTGTGGGTTGGGAATGTTTAGCTGTGTTAAGTGTGTATTACATAAACCTTGAAAAATAATGAGATGAGACTTTTAGAAAAAATGTATATTTTCTTTTTGAGTGCTGAAAATTTGGGGCTGGAATCCAAATACTTGAGGAAAAGAGAAGATAGCATTCCGCTACGTGGACTCAGCCAGAATCTGTTCAGTAACTCAGGTGAGAAGGCATTTCGGGCTGAATGGTGTGCGTGAGGACCTTCAGTGAGCAGCTGTGATCTTTTTGTCCCCACTTGTAGACACCAGCAGGATGGCACCTGGGAGCACTGCAGCCGCCTTCCAAAGCCCTGGCACCCGCTGCCCCCTCCTCTGCGTACTTCCCTGGGCAAACTGCCTAGCAACTAACTCCTGCAGGCATCGTTTACGTTTGTGCACTTCAAAATTCTTAACAGAACAAGCAAGTACAAATGTTGCATGGACTCCTGCTAAGATTCTTTGGATCCTTTATGCTACTTACTGTCATTTATGGCGGACATTTAATTTTACAAAACAAATTTGTACGTGATACAAGATTGAGGAAATGATATTTTTTGGTTTGTGAACATGCTGTTTTATATAAAATAGTATGAATTTTATTAGAATCTGTTAAATTCTTAGATATTCAGTTCTAAGACTTGATCCTTGTAAATGATCATACTGAAAATTTGGGTAAGCTAAATGCTTAGTCGGAAAGTATGAAACCAAAATCACTAATGGTCTTTTTTACTATTTTTTATTACTAAGTTCTAGATTGCCACCTGACAATTACAAGCAAAAGGTAATTATCTCCTAAGATTATGTTACTGATATTTCTGTGTAAAAGAAAAAGTCCTAAATCGGCCTTAAATGAACTAAGCCTTCATAAGCAAGTAAGAATGATTTCCTGAAAAAATTAACAAAATTAGCTATTGTCTACAAAATAACTTGTATAACAAAAATAATTCTTAATAGTATATTTACATGACCAGATTAAGTGTAAAGTGCTTTAGTCATATCCTGCTGAGTTTGTTAGGATTTAATTGCTTCCTGAAAGTACACTCATCCATCTCTCTCCCCAGTTTTGAGTTTTATTAGCTATGCAGTAAAATCCCTACCAGTGAAATATTTTTAAAAGTTGGTTCATATAAAATCTCATCATGAAATATCCTTGAATGTTTTTGTAGTATCAAAAGCTGAGTTCATTTTAGTGTTCACTTAAGTAGT